CCATGACGCACGCGCGACCCATGCGCGACCGCGGCCGATTTGTGCCCGCCCATAACGGCGCGCCTTCGCGCTCACCGCTGTGCGCCGACAACGGGGCGGGGCCCCCGACGGCGATGACGCCGTCGGCAATGATGACGACCTGTCTGCCCAAGCCAGCGGCGGACTGGAGGCGCCCGGCGATGGTGATGTCCCTGCGCCAGACCGCCCTCGAGATGGAGCGCGCGGCAAGGGCGCGACCGTCGAGGTAGCCATGGCGGGCGAGGCGCCAGAGCACATGCGAACCCAATCATCGGGGACCATGCGAGCAACCTCAGCGACGAGGCGCTTGCGCGACCGCCAGCGGTTCTCGATTGGGGCGCGGGCGCCGTTTGAGGCGTCAGCGAGCTGCTGCAGGTAGCCGACGTGGCGCGGGTCGCGGAGTATCGCGGGCGGAATGGGTTGCTCGGCGGGCGGCGGGCGCGGCCTGTTGTCGGCGAGCGCGACGACAGCGCGGTCGCTGAGGCCGTCGTCCGACAAGGTGGCGGCGTCGTGGGCGATGTCGACCCGCGGGGTGAGCTCTTGCGCGGCGAGAGACGGGGGGCTGGTGAAAACGCGGTCGATAGCGGAAGCCGGCCGCGTAGCCAGACTTGTTGAAACTGGTCGGGAGGTCCGACTCGATCTCGAGCATGGAGCCCAAAAGCGCCCTTCCAGACGGGCTGCTGCTGGCGAGTGTTGTTGTCGAGCGAGGAGGCGGGCACGCTGCCGTCTCGGTTTCTGGACGTTCCCGACGGCTTTTCTAATTCAGCCGCGTATCTTTGCATTACATAACGTGTTAAGTGTGTTTTCTTTATTGTGTCGCCCATTTCTTTTCAACGGTATATATATATATATATATATATATGTGTTTGTTTGTTTATTTGGTTAGTCTCATCCTTTTTGGCTCAATGTTTCGCTAATGTTCTGCCCCCGCCGTGAGCGGGCGATCGCTCTTTACCCAGACTAATCAGAAAGCACGCAGTGGTTCTAGCGAACTACTCCCAGAGCGTCACTGCAACGCTGCTCTGGAAGCTACCCCCAAACGCCTCAGACTCAGGCGTAATCCTTGCAAGCCTTCCCGAACGCCACCAGGCGGTCCTCCTTCTTGGTCACGAACCAATACTGGTACTCACGAACGTACTGCATCACATCAGATCGACGAACGTGTCGAGGTTTCGCCCATTGCTTGTAGTTGCCGAAGAAGCCGTCCATGTATTGCGTCCCTCCCCATACCTTCTTCCCGTCGGTATTCAACATCTTCGTCCACTCTTCCTTCCCATGAACGACGGCGATCTGCTTCGCTCGATTGCCGAAGGATCAAACAGTCGTGCTGCGCTCCTCTGGAGCATTTCGTCTCTTGTTTGCCTGGGATTGTTTCGCTTCCGACTGGTGTGAACTTTACGCCCCCCTGGAGCATTTCGCCCCGTATCTGGCTGGAGCATCTCGCCCCCACGTGATCTGGAGCATTTCGCCCCTACGTGATCTGGAGCATTACGCCCCTTGGAGCATTTCGCCCCGTATCTGGCTGGAGCATTTCGCCCTTACGTGATGTGGAGCATTCCGCCCCCTGGAGCATTTCGCCCCGCACCTGGCTGGAGCATTTCGCCCCTATGTTATCTGGAGCGTTACGCCCCGCCTTCTCTCCCGTCAACTGTAGTTTGGGGGCGGTGGTAACTTAAAATACTCCGTGCAATAGCTGCGCTTCATCTGTGCTTCACATTCACCACGGGCACACGACGCAAGTGGGACAAATGAGGAAGGGGGACAACGGAGGGGAAGGAAGATAACGAGGAAGAAGGGAGGAGGAGGAGGGATGACTGGAACAGGGCACGGTGTGAACTACATGGTCGCACCCCCCGAAGATCTACCTTTTGGCGGGTTCTGAGATGAACCTTCGAGTTGTCTGTCTCTCCTCGCCGCTTCCTCGCCCCTTCCTCGCCAGGATTGTCCTCGCCCCGCCCTCGCCTGCAATCTCCCGCTAACCTGGCCAGGCGTTTTTTTTCTGGCCTGGGAGCTCACAGAACCTGGCCAGGCGTTGTTTTTTCTGTTTTTTCTTGTCTGGGAGCCCACAAAACCTGGCCAGGCGTTGGTTTTTCTGGTTTTTCTGGTCTGAGGGCTCAGAAAACCTGGCCAGGCGTTGGTTTTTCTGGTTTTTCTGGTCTGACGGCAGTAGTTCGCAAGCCCCCAACCTCCAGGCCAGGTTTTGTGGGCTCCCTGACCAGAAAAACCAGAAAAACCAACGCCTGGCCACGTTTTCTGAGCCCCCAGACCAGAAAAACAAGAAAAACCAACGCCTGGCCAGGTTTTCTGAGCTCCCAGACCACAAAAACCAAAAAAACCAACGCCTGGCCAGGTTTTCTGAGCTCCCAAACCAGAAGAACTAGAAAAACCAACGCCTGGCCAGGTTTTCTGAGTTCCCAGACAAGAAAAACCATAAAAAAACAACGCCTGGCCAGGTTTTCTAAGCCCCCAGGAGGAGGAGGAACGGGAGAAGGAGGAGGACGAGAGAGAGAGAGAGAGACAGAGAGAGAGAGAGAGACAGAGAGAGAGAGAGAAGAGACAGAGACAGAGAGATAGAGGGATAACGGAAAAAAGGGTGGGGCACCGAGGTTGAAGGAGGGAGATCAAAGGATGGTCTTGGGCAAACCACCGCGGCTGTGGGCAACGATGTTCAGCGAAGCCTTTCAAAACGATCGGTCTCAAGACAACACAAAAACGACGGGAACGTTCAGAAACCGAGACGCTGGCACGCTGGGCCTGCGGCTGCAATAAGCCATTCGGGGGGCGGCTGGACCTGCGGAACCCGCGAGGCCTTTGGGACCCGCGACACCTGCACGACCAGCGGGACCAGGGGAACCTCTGTGGACCTGCGACTCCGCGCCCTCCTCTCCTGGAGCCTCCCGGCCGGTGTTGGGGGATCTCGCGAGGCCCTCCTCGGCTTACTGGTGCTCCGAATTCAACGGGGCGGCGCCGGCCGCTCCGGATGCGTCTCCACCATCTTTCGGGTTGTCTGAACCTGCGTGCCCCGATGAGCACCAAACGCCGCGAACTGCACAGATTTCGACGATCCAAACCCCCTCGGACTTGTCCTTGCGCCTCTCTTGAAACTCTCGTACGTCAGGTTCGTGTCGTGCCAGCTACGGCGTTGGTTTCTGACACCGCGGGGTTTGTTCAACCTTGGACGATCGCCCGTTTCCGAAACGTCCAAGGCGTTCCACATCGAACGATTCTGGGTCGCCCGCGGCGCTCAACGTTGAACGCCACTGGCGGGTCGCCGCTGGTCGACACGACACAAACCTACATCTCCCCGGGCTCCGCCCTCCATCGTGAACTCTGCGACCACACTGCCCGGACGCCCTCACCACATCTCGGGCCACCCCCCCGGCTGCCCAGGCGCCTTCTCGGCGCGTTTTTCCGATCACCTGGTGCGCCCCCAGGTAGCCTCCGCGGGCCTTCCCCGACGCCTACACCCAACTCGCCTTGTTCTTGGCCCGCCCCCGTTTCTCGCGTTCACCTCACTCGGCCGCGTTCGACGCATTCTTCTTCGTTTCTGGGACATCTCGGCCCCCGCGGCGCTTTCATGAAGGCTTCCCAAGCCTCCGCGCGGCCGTCCTGGCGGCTTGCGAGGCCCTCCTCGGCTTCCAAAAACCATGGATCACCTCGCATTCTTTCTTTCCTGGTTCCGCTTCTGTGTGGGGCCCCAATAGACACACGACCACCAGGCGGCCATAGGAAAGGAACAAATCCTGCTCGCGACCGCCCTGGCAGGGGTGCCACTGCCTGCCCCCGCCCAGCGCAAGTGCTTGCCACGTGGTCATGCGCGCAGATGGTGGCCGCATCCGGTCGCGAATACTTGCTCCCAAGCACCCTATGGCAGCAAGGTGGTGGTGTACAAAAATGATGGACAACCCTGGGAATGTTCTACACCACCCCGAAATGTACACCACGTGAATGTGTTGTTTTTTGCGTATGCAACCACGTGCCCAAATGACGCTGCACACGCGACATGTCATTACCGCGAGATTTGGCGCACCCTGCAACCCACGCCGAATCAATAATCCGATCAACCCCCATGCAAGAAAACTCGCCCACGGTGGTGATGTATATGCGTGGGTCCCGGATTCTACGGCCCACCCAAGTGAACCGCACCCAACCCGTGTCCATCTTACTTAGGCCCCTCTTGGGCTCATTTGGCCAGTCCACGGGGCCCTCTGAAGCTGTCTCGGACTCTACCGAAGCCCTTTCAAGCCATGTTGAGCCGAAGACCCGAGGATGCCAAAAACCTTCAAAAAACATGCGCGTGTTGATTCGTTTCGCCTTTTCGGGTTTCTTGTTGCGCCTCCTGGAGGTCTGGTGGAGCCTCTTGTGAAACTCTTGGTGCCTCTAAGGCAACGCTGGAATATCTCCAAAGCCTCTCGGGCCGTCCTGAAGGCCTCTCGGTCCCAGCTTGGGCCGTCTGGCCGCCCTGTTGGACCCCTCTTGGGCAGTCTTGGGCGCGCCTAAAGGTTACCTGGAGGACCTTGTGAAGCCCCAAAACTGTCTCGCGCAGCTCCGTTTTACCTCTCAGTGCCCTCATTTGGTTTCGTCCGCCGGTTGCTATACTTAGGGGTGCCATTTGGGACAGTTTTCGAAGACTTTTGGAGTACTCTTGGGTTGCTTTTGGGGGGGGGGGGCATCTGGGGCCGTCTTGGACCTCCCCTGTCGCCCTCTGGGACCATTTCAATTGCTCTCCACTTCCTCCACCACCTCCCAACTTCTCCACGTGCCCAAAAACGTGGGACGGCGGTGTCTGCCTCCTCACGGGTGTTCGATTACAGAACCTGTTACGCTATCGTGGGCGCCTGTCCCAGAGCGGCTGGAAAATGCATCATATCCCCACCTGCCACCCTGGGCGTGTACATTGCCCAGCCGCCCGGGGACAGGCGCCCCCGATCTCGGAAAGCTTATGTTATACCGTTCTTCGCCCGCGAAAGGGGGGCCGTCTCCTGCCGCTGCGCGGCCGAGGGCCCCCTGCAGCGCGCCCGGAGCGCCGCCAGCCAAGTGGTGCACAACAGCGTGTCGTCCCAGTCGAGGACCGTCACCGTCTGGTCGGGGCGGACGGGGGGGGGGGAGGGGGCCATCTTTCCCCCGAGGTCCCATGATATCCCCACACCGTGCAGGCACTTAGGGGCTCTGACTTCTGTCGCTTAAGTACCCAGGTTTTCGCCACGTTGGCGACCGTGCCCGCTCGTGGGCACCTCGTGGACGCCCCGTGCTCTGGGAGGGTTTGCTGAACATTCGCCGCTTTGGCGCAGTATTGGCCGCGTTGCCGCCCCGAGCTTGCACACATAGCTTGCACCCCACAGTTTGCAGCGCAGAACTCGGACCGCACAGCACATAGCTGATGCTCCACGTGTATAAATGTACTACAACTCTTAGCTTCCACCATACTCGAGCTCACACCACATAGCTTACACCACATAGCTCACGCCAGATAGACCACACCAAGTAGCTTACACAACAGAGCTCCCACCACGTAGCTTACACAACCTAGCTGACACCACAGAGCACCACATCGTTTACATAATATAGCTCACACCGCAAAGTTTCCATAACAGAGCTTGCGCCGCATAGCTTGAGTAAAGTAGCTCCCTCCTTTACAACTCACTAACTTATTGCCTGGGATCAACGTTGGCTTTGATGGTTTTTCAATGCTCCTTGATTTCGGCCTCTGGGGCATGTTATCAAGCCCCGCGAGACAATCCACAATGGATCCGCGGCGAAGAACTGGCCCCGCGACCTCTGAGACCGCGGTAAGAACACCCCAGGGGTTATCGTTAGCACCACACCATTACTAATGATACCCAGGGGGCGGCTTTCGCCAACCGGTATCTTCAGCACCGCACGAATTCCAAAAAAAAATAGCCTGGCGAAGAACACAACCATATGAACGCAGCCACTGGCGCCAACGGTGGAGCTTCCTATGGGGCCACGAGACGCGTGAGGGGTGTGCCGGAATGTGCGTGGGTGAAGCATGCGGGCGGTGGCACCGGGGCCTTCGTTGGAGCTCCCTATGAGGCCACGAAACGTTTGAGGGGTGTGACGAGATGGGTGTGGGTGACACATGCGGGCGGTGGCACTGGCGCCTTCGGTGGAGCTTCCTTTGTGGCCACGAAACGCGTGATGGGGTGTGCCAACATGAATGTGGGTGACGCATGCGGGCGGTGGCAACAGCACCAGGGCCCTCGTTGGAGCCCCCTATGAAGCCACGAAACGAGAGAGGGGTGTGACGACATGGGTGTGGGTGACGCATGCGGGCGGTGACACTGGGGCCTTCGGTGGAGCTTCCTATGGGGCCACCAAACGTGTGATGGGTGTGCCGAAATGGGTGTGGATGACGCATGCGGGCGGTGGCCCTGGGGCCTTCGGTGGAGCCCCCTATAGGGCCACGAAACGTGTTAGCGGTGTTCCGAAATGGGTGTGGGTGACGCATGCGGGCGGTGGCACTGCGGCCTTCAGTGGAACTCCGAATAGGGCCACGAAACGTGTGAGGGGTGTGACGACATGGGTGTGGGTGACGCATGCGGGCGGTGATGCTGTGGCCTTCGGTGGAGCTTCCTACGGGGCCACGAAGCGTGTGAGGGGTGAGCCGAAACGAGTGTGGGTGACGCATGCGGGCGGTGGCACTGGGGCCGTCGGTGGAGCTCCCTATGGGGCCACGAAACGTGTGAGGGGTGTGCAACATGGGTGTGAGTGACGCATGCGGACGGTGGCCCTGGGGCCTTCGGTGGAGCTCCCTATGGGGCCTCGTGGTGTGCCGAAATGGGTGTGGGTGACGCATGCGGGCGGTGTCACTGGGGCCGTCGGTGGAGCTCCCTATGGGGCCACCAAACGTGTGAGGGGTGTGACGAAATGGGTGTGGGTGACGCATGCGGGCGGTGGAGGGGGGGGCGAGGAGGAGTGACTGATGCGGGGCGCTGTCTCTTCAAAACGAGGACCCAACACCACAATACGGTTGGGAATTAGCCAGACGAAAGACCCAATCGCATGCAGCTGCGACTACCGCAATGTGGGTTCCGATTTCGGTGGAGCTCCCTATGGGGCCACGAACCGTGTCAGCGGTGTGCCGAATTGAACGCGGTGGTGCCATGCGAACCCTCCCACTGGAGCCTTCGGTGGAGCTCCCTATGGGACCATGAAACGTGTGAGAGGTATGCGAATTGGCCGCGGTGGTGCCATGCGAACCCTCCCACTGGAACCTTCGGTGGACCTCCCTATGGGGCCACGAAACGTTTGAGGGGTGTGCCGAATTGGATGCGGTGTTGCCATGCGAACCCTCCGACTGGAGCATCCGGCGGAGCTCCCACTGGGGCCATGAACCGTGTGAAAGATGTGCCGAATTGAACGCGGTGGTGCCATGCGAACCCTCCCATCGGAGCCTTCGGTGAAGCTCCCTATGGGGCCAAGAACCGTGTGATGGAAGTGCCGGCTTGGGAACGGTGGTGTCATGCGAACCCTCCCACTGGAGCCTTCGGTGGAGCTCCCTATGGGGCCACGAACCATGTCAGGGAAAAGCCGACTTGGGCGCGGTGGTGCCATGCGAACCCTCCCACTGGAACCTTCCGTGAAGCTCCCTATGGTGCCACGAAGCGTGTGAGGGGTGTGCCGAATTGGGCGCAGTGGTGCCATGCGAACGCAGCCACTGGCGCCGTCGGTGGAGTTCTCTATGGGGCCACGAACCGTATGAGGGATGTGCCGAATTAGGCGCGGTGGTGCCATGCGAACCCTCCGACTGGAGCCTTCGGTGGAACCCCCTATAGGGCCACGAAGCGTTTGAAGGGTGTGCCGAATTGGACGCGGTGGTGCCATGCGAACCCTCCCACTGGAGCCTTCGGTGGAGCTCCCTATGGGGCCACGAAACGTGTGAGGGGTGTGCAGAATTGCCTTCCCACTAGAGCCTTCGGTGGACCTCCCTATGGGGCCACGAACCGTGTGAGCGGTGTGCCGACTTGAACGCGGTAGTGCCATGTGAACCCTCCCACTGGAACCTTCGCTGGGGCTCCCTATGGGGTCACGAAACGTGTGAGGGATGTGCCGAATTGAACGCGGTGTTGCCATGCGAAACCTCCCACTGGAGCCTTCGATGGAGTTCTCTATGGGGCCACGAAACGTATTAAGGGTGTGCCGAAATGGCGGGCATGCGGAGTGCAGAGGCACGGATGGGAGGAGGGGGGGGGCGGAAGAGGAGGGGGAGAGGAGGTGGGACGCGGGGCACTCTCTTCAAAACGAAGACGCAACACCAAAGGATGGTTGGGAACAAAACAATGTTTGGAATGTGCAAGGTTCTCACGATGTCCTAACGATTGCCGTTTTGGTCTCGGTAGTGTTCGTCTGTTTGGGCGCTTCGAAGATGTGGCGGCGGTCGGGATGACAAGCTTACGCTGAAAATACGCCCGGGGACGCAAGAGGTTCCAGTTTCAAAGGTATTCCCGCAATCGCTTGAACGCCCTCGCCCTCTGCCTACACAACCCCACTACAATCCCACCGTACGGTCTCGCGGTATCACTCCACCACCCGCACGGGGCGCGATTTTGGCACAGGGTAACGCCGAAACAAATCATTTTCTGTTCGCGGATGAGAACACAACGTACTTCAATATAACAATGCGGTAGTAGCAGAAGTAGAAATAGTAGTAGTAGTAGTAGTAGTAGTAGTAGTAGTAGTAGTAGTAGTAGTAGTAGTAGTAGTAGCAATAGTAGCAGTAGTACTGGTGATAGTCGTCGGTCGTCGTAGTAGTTGTGGTAGTAGTAGTAGTAGTAGTAGTAGTAGTAGTAGTAGTAGTAGTAGCAGCAGCAGCAGTAGTAGTAGTAGTAGTAGTAGTAGTAGTAGTAGTAGTAGTAGTAGTAGTAGTAGTAGTAGTAGTAGTAGTCGCAGTAGTAGTAGCAGCACTAGTGGTAGATATAGTGATGGTCGTTGTAGTAGCCGGAATGCTGGTAGAAATAAGTAGTAGTCGTAGTAGTAGTAGTAGTAGTAGTAGTAGTAGTAGTAGTAGTAGTAGTAGTAGTAGTAGTAGTAGTAGTAGTAGTAGTAGTAGTAGTAGGAGTAGTAGTAGTAGTAGTAATACTGGGTGCTGTAATGACAATGGCCAAAATATTGATAGCAGCAGCACAGCAGAAGCAGTAGTAGTAGAGGGAGACGAACGAGCACACATAGTAATCGTGGCAATGATAAGAATACCAGTCGTAGTCGTAGTAAAAAATCAGAGTCGCAGCTATAGCAGTAGTAGTAGTAGTACTACTACTACTACTGCTACTACTACTACTACTACTACTACTACTACTACGACTACGACTACTACTACTACTACTACTACTACTACTACTACTACTGCTGCTACGACTACTACGATTACTCCTATTACTAGTGCTACTACTACTACTACTACTACTACTACTACTACTACTACTACTACTACTACTACTACTACTACTGCTACGACGACTACTACTACTACTACTACTACTACTACTACTACTACTACCACAAGCAGCACTAGCAATCGCAAGGGTACTTTGCAACCGTGGTATGTGTAGTGGTAGCAACCGTACGCATACCAATAATGATAACAGTAGCACGGGTACGAATAACCACAGCAGTAAGAATGGTTCCAGCAGTTGTAATAATAGTAGCCGTAATCATTATAGCATTGGTAATCAAACTGGTACACGTAGTAGTAGCAGCAAACCTATTGAAATCAAACACACAATGAAAACCCGTAGTACTGCTACAAGATGTAACGCAGGTAGCAAGAGTAATACCACGTTTCGCAATACCATACCATTAGCAATCCCACTCGTAGTCGCCGTATTACTATTAATACTTCGTAAAAATAGCCGTAGTAGCACTCGTAGTGGTGGTAAAGCTTAGTAGCAATAGCAATCGTCATAGTAGTCGTAGTAGTAATAGTCGTCGTCGTCGTAGTAATCGTAGCAGTAGTAGCAGTAGAAGTAATCGTGCCAGCAATACTCGAATTGCTGGTAGTAGTGGTAATAATAGTAGCCGCAGTCGTAGTAGTAGTAGTAGTAGTAGTAGTAGTAGTAGTAGT